TGAGAGAGACAATTCCGCCCCGTAAGGCTGGGGGGAGGGTAGCTTAGGTGTGAGCAGTGGGGGATCACAAGATAATTCCTTGGTAAATACATCTAGTTTTTATACGTATTCCCGCCCGATTACCGCACGTGAACTTCTCCGTGAAGCCTCCGTTGTATTGTCCTTCCTGTGGATCCTCACATGCCCTCCGCGAAGTTCGACTCCCATGTTCTCCGTTAAGTTGACACACACGCCTTCCGTTAGGCTCGACGGAAACCTGCCCCCACAACCTTTACGTTTGCCCGATCCCGTCGCTTCGCATGTCCCGTAGCGATCCGTAAGTCGTCCGTGAATATGTCCGTGTGGCACTCCTTGATATCGATTGCTGGTTGTTCGAGGTATAGGCCTGGTGGCGTAACTGGTAACGCGCGCATTTGCAGTCAACTTCTGCGCGATATTACAATTGCGAGTCCCTCGTTCGATTCGAGGTCAGGCCGTGTTCGCTTTTTCCCACGCTCCGTAGGTGTATTTTTCCGTCACGGAGAGAGCGTGCGCCAGTATTCGATCGTGAGTGATTCCGTGGGTGTCGATTGTTGTTTCCTGACTATTTGCAGTATAGGCCCGGTGGCGTAACTGGTAACGCGCGCATTGTCGGTTTCCTCGCAATATTGCATAATTGCGAGTCCCTCGTTCGATTCGAGGTCGGGCCTTTATTCGCTTTTTCCCACGCTCCGTAGGTGTATTTTTCCGTCACGGAGAGAGCGTGCGCCAGTATTCGACCGTGAGTGATTCCGTGGGTGTCGATTGTTGTTTCATGACTATTTGCAGTATAGGCCCGGTGGCGTAACTGGTAACGCGCGCATTTGTAGTACTTCTCTTCACAATATTGCGTAATTGCGAGTCCCTCGTTCGATTCGAGATCGGGCCTTTGTTGGCAATTTTGCTACCTTTTTTCCGCGAGCGTTCCGTAGTCGTGTTCCGTAGTGCGTGTGTTCCGTTGCAGTGTGTTACCTTTCCGTCCGCGCAGAGAGCGTCCGCCAGGTCAGTTTTCAACCGTGGGAAAACCCTCCGTGACAGCCGTAGCATGCCGTGTGGTCTCTGAGGCTTATCGTGATTTCCTCCGTGAGTCGTTTCGTTACTGATTTCCGCCGCGCTTGAGCGTATCACAAAGTGATAGCTCACAGCGCCCAGATAACCCGCACGTAGGGTTACCGATGAGAGGATGAACGATAGTATACTGAGAGTCGTTGCCCAGTGGTGAGAAGACACTTCGTTGTTGCCAGGCCAAAGTATAGCTGGTATTAGACGAGGTAGAATCTAGAGTACAGGAAGATTCTACCTAGTTTATATACTACTCTGCTAATTAGGTATCCAAGGTTTCATCTGAAATACCAGTCGGCGTTGATGAGACAACGTATGGCACACAGGAGTGTGATCAAATATATCTCCACGATGTATTGGCTTTTAGGGTTTGACACATGTCAGGTGTCCGATCGTCGATCCTTGAAATATCCCGGGCGGTTGTCAACTGTCGGTGTGAGTTACCGTCGTTTCAGGGAATATTCCGGGTCCGTCGCTGTGTGGATCCAGGAGTATTCCGGGATGTTCCTTTGGAGTTCGGTTGTCGTATGGAAAACGGGGTAGTAGGGAAGGAAATGAATGGGTTGTGAAAACCACGATTCATGACAGGCAGGTTGATTTGTTGTCTTAGGTGGCCGAAAATTTGGTATGCAGCCAGGTCAAGAACAGTCTGGATATCGGCTCGGTGGTGGATGGTCCACGTGTGCTGTCCTTAAAGGAGCAAAATCTGTCTTTCATGCAGAAGGAGCCCGTTCGATTCGGGTCTGAGCCATCTTTTTCACAATCTGTGATTTTGTTTTTTATGCTTGCAAGTTGGATTTGACTCACACTCATCAGGAATTTGTGCACCCAAGGACACTTGGTTGCAAGATGAGTAAGGCTTGGTGGTGGGAGGTCCACAGCTGTATGACTTTGGAGTACCCGAGAGTAAGGTTATACAGAGAATGCTTGTTCGACTCGAGCCTGAGCCATTCGAAAACTGCTTCAAGGTCTTTTTTATTTATTTTAGCCGCAGAGTTGGAGGAGTTGTTTTTCCACACATCAAGGAGTGGCCACTACTATAAAACCAAGTTATTTGTTCGAGCGAGTGTAGTGTTCAAAGAGTAGAGTGCAAGAATGGCAGGTTGCTTTGGTCAATGTTGTCTAACGTGTCTGAAAGTTTGGTGTGTAGCCAGGTTGAGAACAGTGTGAATATCGGCTCGGTGGTGGATGGTCCACGTCTGTTGTCCTTGAGGAGCCATTTCGTTGCCTCATGCAGAAGGAGCCCGTTCGATTCGGGTCTGAGCCATAGCGGATCGTACAGCTTCTTTTTTTTGTGCTTCACACTGGGTTTCAAACCCATCCGAGATTTGCTCACCTGGGACAATCAGTTGCAAGAAGTGTACTGCTTGGTGGTGAGAGGTCCACATCTGTATGACTTGAGAGTACCTGAGGAAGGTTAAGCAGAAGATGCTCATTCGAGTCGAGTCCCAGCCAGAATGCCGCAAACAGCTTTTTCATTAGTCGCAGAGTCAAAGGAGTTGTTTTTGTACACATCAAGGAGTGGCTACTGCTGTGAAACCAAGTTATCTCTTCGAGTGAGTGTGGTGCTCGGAGAGTAGGGTGCAAGAGGGGCAGCTTAATTGGGTCAATGTGTCCAAAAGTTGGGTGTGTATCCAAGTTAAGAACAATGTGGATATTGGCTTGGTGGTGGATGGTCCACGTCTGCTGTCCTTATACCATTTTGATACGGCCTTCATGCAGAAGGAACCCATTCGATTCGGGTCTGAGCCATTGTCAGCCACTGCCTTTTTGTGTATTCTACTCTTTTTTTTGCACTTCACACTGGGTTTCAAACCCATTCGAGAGTTGCTCACCTACAAACCCTCGGTTGAAAGGGGAATAAGGCTCGGTGGTGGGAGGTCTACATCTGTATGACTTGATGTCCCAAAAGAGGTTGAGCAGAAGACACTCATTCAAATCGAGCCCGAGCCATTGATGGGCTGCAGCCATCTTTTTTTTTAGCCGCAGAGTCAAAGGAGTTGTTTTTCTACACATTAGGGGAAGTCAAAGCTGAAATCGAAGGCCGATTCTGGGGTCGATTCTGACGACCAATTCTTCGTCAAGAATCGGGATCAGAATTGGTCAGAATCGGTGTTGCTACTCTGGAGTAGCAACTCGACAGAATCACCGATTCTGGAACCGATTCTCGCGTCCATTCTGTTTCGATTGTCAGATTTTGATTCCGCAGAATCGGTGCGAGAATCGGACTAGAAACGGGGGCGGTCAAAGCTCGACCCGATTCTCGTTCGATTCTTCACACAGAATCGGTTCTGAATCGAAGTCAGAATCGGTCAAGAATCGGTTCCTCGAGACAGCTTTGACTGACTTCCCTTATTAAAGAGTGGGGACTGCTGTGAAACTAAGTTCTCTCTTCGAGTGAGTGTAGTGTTCAAAGAGTAGAGCACTTGCAAAAAGGCCAGAGCGATTCGGGACTGAAAATTTGGTACGCAGCCAGGTTAAGAACACAGCTGGTGTCGGCTTGGTGGTGGATGGTCCACGTTTGCTGTCCTTGGGGGAGCGATAACTGTGTTTCATGCAGATGCAGAGGGAACCCGTTCGATTCGGGTCCAAGCCATTTCAGTTTTGTGATGCAATGAACTTGTTTTTTTGTGCTTTCAAGTTGAATTCGACCACACTCATCAGAAATTTGCTCACCTAGGGAGCTCCATTGCAAGGGGAGTAAGGCTCGGTGGTGGATGGTCCACATCTATGACTTCTGATGTCCCAAAAGAGGTTACACAGAAGACACTCGTTCGAGTCGAGTCCCAGCCATTTGAATGCCACAAATAGCTTTTTCTTTAGTCGTGAAGTTGAAGGAGTTTTTTTTATGCACATCTCGGAGTGGCCACTGCTGTGAAACCAAGTTATCTCTTCGAGTGAGTGTGGTGTTCAACGAGTAGAGTGCAAGAATGGCAGGTTGCTTTGGTCAATGTTGTCTAACGTGTCTGAAAGTTTGGTGTGTAGCCAGGTTGAGAACAGTGTGAATATCGGCTCGGTGGTGGATGGTCCACGTCTGTTGTCCTTGAGGAGCCATTTCGTTGCCTCATGCAGAAGGAGCCCGTTCGATTCGGGTCTGAGCCATAGCGGATCGTACAGCTTCTTTTTTTTGCACTTCACACTGGGTTTCAAACCCATCCGAGATTTGCTCACCTGGGACAGTTGCAAGAAGTGTACTGCTTGGTGGTGGGAGGTCCACATCTATGACTTCTGATGTCCCAAAAGAGGTTAAGCAGAAGATGCTCATTTGAGTCGAGTCCCAGCCATTTGAATGCCGCAAATAACTTTTTCTTTAGTCGCGAAGTCGAAGGAGTTTTTTTTCTACGCATTAAGGAGTGGCCGCTGCTGTAGAACCAAATTATCTCTTCGAGCGAGTGTGGTAGTCAAAGAGTAGAGTGCAAGAGGGGCAGGTTGCATTGGTCAACATTGTCTCATGCGTTCCGAAAATTAGGTGTGTAACCAGGTTGAGAACAGAGCTAGTATCGGCTTGGTGGTGGATGGTCCATGTCTGCTCTGCTTGCCGGTAATCACTGTGAGTTAGGCAGAAGGAACTCGTTCAATTCGGGTCCGAGCCACCTTTTTCGCGATCAGTGATTTTGTTTTTTATGCTTACAGGCCGAATTCAACTCAAACCCCTAAGAAATTGGTTCACCTAAGAGTAACGTTACACAGAAGACGCTCGTTCGAGTTGAGTCCGAGCCATTTGAATGCCGCAAACAGCTTTTTCTTTAGTCGCAGAGTCGAAGGAGTTGTTTTTCTACACATCAAGGAGTGGCCACTGCTGTGAAACTATGTTATCTCTTGGAGCGAGTGTGGTGTTCAAAGAGTAGAGTGCAAAAAGGGCAGGGTGATTCGGGTCTGAAAATTTGGTACATAGCCAGGTTAAGAACAATGTGGATATCGGCTTGGTGGTGGATGGTCCATGTCTGCTGTCCTTAAAGGAGAAAATTCTGTCTTTCATGCAGATGCAGAGGGAACCCGTTCGATTCGGGTCCAAGCCATATTCAGTTCGGATTCTATGATTTTGTGTTTATGCTTGCAAGTTGAATTCAACTTACACTCATCAGAAATTTGTGCACCTAGGACCCTCAGTTGCAAGAAGAGTAAGGCTTGGTGGTGGATGCTCCACATCTGTATAACTTCTGATGTCCCAAAAGAGGTTAAGCAGAAGATGCTCGTTCGAATCGAGCCCGAGCCATTTGAATGCCGGCAAGTTTTTTATTTATCCAAGTCGAAGGATTCCACACATCAGCGGGCACTACCGTGAAACTCTGTTATCTCATCGAGCGAGTGTGGTGTTCAAACAGTAGAGCACTTGCAAAAAGGGCAGGGTGATTCTGGTCTGAAAATTTGGTATGCAGCCAGGTTAAGAACAGAGCTGGTGTCGGCTTGGTGGTGGATGGTCCACATCTGCTGTCCTTGAGGGAGCATGAAATTGTTTCATGCAGATGCAGAAGGAACCCGTTTGATTCGGGTCCACGCCATTTCAATCTAGGATGCAATGAACTTGTTTTTTCGTGCTTTCAAGTTCAATTCAACTCACACTCATCAGAAATTTGCTCACCTAGGACCTCGGTTGCAAGAGGAGTAAGGCTTGGTAGTGGGAGGTCTACACTGTATGACTTCTGATGTGACAAAAGAGGTTAGACAGAAGACGCTCGTTCGAATCGAGCCTGAGCCATTAAAGAACTGTTTCATTGTCTTTTTTTTCAGCCGCAGAGTCGGAGGAGTTGTTTTTCTACACATCAAGGAGTGGCCACTGCTGTGAAACCAAGTTATCTCTTTGAGCGAGTGTGGTGTTCGGAGAGTAGAGTGCAAGAAGGGCAGGTTGATGTGTTGTCTTAGGTGTCTGAAACTTTGGCGTGTAGTCAGGTTGAGAACACAGCTGGTATCGGCTTGGTGGTGGATGGTCCATGTCTGCTCTACTTAGATTGAGACAAAGAGTGTTAGGCAGGATGAGTCGAGTCTGAGCCATGTTCTGTAGAGATTCCATGAACTGCTTTTTATATTTGCAACTTGAAGCGGAATCCGGCTCAAACCCCTAAGAAATTTGGTCGCCTAACAACCCTCAGCTCTACGGAGGAGTAAGGTTCGGTGGTGGAAGGTCCACATCTGTATGCCTTGAGACTATCCGAGGAAGGTTACATAGAATATGCTCGTTCGAGTCGAGCCTGAGCCATTCAAAAGCTGTGTCATTGTCTTTTTTTTCAGTCGCGGAGTCAAAGGAGTTGTTTTTCTACACATCAAGGAGTGGCTACTGCTGTGGAACAAAGCTATCTCCTCGAGCGAGTGTGGTGGTCAAAGAGTAGAGCACTTGCAAAAAGGACAGGTTGATTTGTTGTCTTACGTGTCTGAAAGTTTGGTACACAGCCAGGTTAAGAACAGTGTGGATATCAGCTTGATGGTGGATGGTCCACGTCTGTTGTCCTTGTACCATTTTGATGCCTCATGCAGAAAGAACCCGTTCGATTCGGGTCTGAGCCATTTCAGTTCGGATTCTATGAACTTGTTTTTTCGTGCTTTCAAGTTGAATTCAACTCACACTCATCAAAAATTTGCTCACCTAGGGAGCTCCATTGCAAGGGGAGTAAGGCTCAGTGGCGGATGGTCCACATTGTATGACTTCTGATGTCCCAAAAGAGGTTAAGCAGAAGACACGCGTTCAAATCGAGCCCGAGCCATTTGCAGGCATTCACTTTTTTTTAGTGGCAGAGTCGAAAGAGATGGTTTTTATATACGCATCAAGGAGTGGCCACTGCTGTGGAACCAGGTTATTGCAACGAGGGAGTGTGGTGTTCGGAGAGTAGAGTGCAAGAAGGGCAGGTTGATGTGTTGTCTTACGTGTCTGAAAGTTTGGTACATAGCCAGGTCAGGAACAGTGTGGATATCGGTGTGGTGGTGGATGGTCCACGTCTGCTGTCCTTGGGGGAGCGATAACTGTGTTTCATGCAGATGCAGAGGGAACCCGTTTGATTCGGGTCCAAGCCATTTCAGTTTTGTGATGCAATGAACTTGTTTTTTTGTGCTTCAAGTTGAATTTGACCACACTCATCAGAAATTTGCTCACCTAGGGAGCTCCATTGCAAGGGGAGTAAGGCTCGGTGGTGGATGGTCCACATCTATGACTTCTGATGTCCCAAAAGAGGTTACACAGAAGACACTCGTTCGAGTCGAGTCCCAGCCATTTGAATGCCACAAATAGCTTTTTCTTTAGTCGTGAAGTTGAAGGAGTTTTTTTTTATGCACATCTCGGAGTGGCCACTGCTGTGAAACCAAGTTATCTCTTCGAGTGAGTGTGGTGGTCAACGAGTAGAGTGCAAGAATGGCAGGTTGCTTTGGTCAATGTTGTCTAACGTGTCTGAAAGTTTGGTGTGTAGCCAGGTTGAGAACAGTGTGAATATCGGCTCGGTGGTGGATGGTCCATGTCTGCTCTGCTTGCCGGTAATCGCTGTGAGTTAGGCAGAAGGAACCCGTTCGATTCGGGTCCAAGCCATTTCATGATCAGTTCACAATCGTCATGATTTTAATTTTTATGCTTGCAGGCTGAATTCGACTGGAACCGCTAAGACATTTGCTCAGCTAAAGACTCTTGGCTCTACGGAGGAGTAAGGCTCGGTGGTGGAAGGTCCACACTGTATGACTTCCGATGTCCCGCAAGAGGTTGGTTACCCAGAAGACGCTCGTTCGAATCGAGCCCGAGCCATTCGGTGGTTCCCGGATCCTGCGTCTTTTGGTCGCAGAATAGAGAAGTTGGTTTCCCCTGCGCACCTTAGATTGGGAATGCCTATCCACGTAAGCGATATCTCGGAGTGATTTTCGTGTTCAAAACTACTAGTTGTCGTACTCACCAGAACGGCAGCTTGTTTGGTTAATATGTCCAAAAGTTGGGTGTGTAGCCGAGTTAAGAACAGAGCTGGTATCGGCTTGGTGGTGGATGGTCCACGTCTGTTGTCCCTATACCATTTGGATACCTCATGCAGAAGGAGCCCGTTCGATTCGGGTCTGAGCCATTGTCAGCCACTGCATTCTACTCTTTTTTTTTTTGCACTTCACACTGGGTTTCAAACCCATCCAAGATTTGCTCACCTACAGACCCTGGGTTGCAAGAGGAATAAGGCTCGGTGGTGGAAGGTCCACATCTGTATGACTTGAGAGAATCCAGGAAGGTTACCCAGAAGACGCTCGTTCGAGTCGAGCCTGAGCCCTATGAAGAACTGATTTATTGTCTTTTTTTCAAGTCGCAGAGTCGAAGGAGATTGTTTTCTACACATCAAAGAGTGACCACTGCTCTGAGACCAAATTATTGCAATGAGGGAGTGTGGTGTTCAAAAAGTAGAAGGGCAAGAAGGGCGGGTCGTCTCTCCGTCTGAAAGTTTGGTACGTAGCCAGGTTGAGAACAGTCTGGATATCGGCTTGGTGGTGGATGGTCCACATCTGCTGTCCTTAAAGGAGCGAAATCTGTGTTTCATGCAGAAGGAGCCCGTTCGATTCGGGTCCAAGCCATTTGATTTGAGATGCAATGAACTTGTTTTTTTGCGCTTTCAAGTTGAATTCAACCACACTCATCAGAAATTTGCTCACCTAGGGAGCTCCATTGCAAGGGGAGTAAGGCTCAGTGGCGGATGGTCCACATTGTATGACTTCTGATGTCCCAAAAGAGGTTAAGCAGAAGACACGCGTTCAAATCGAGCCCGAGCCATTTGCAGGCATTCACTTTTTTTTAGTGGCAGAGTCGAAAGAGATGGTTTTTATATACGCATCAAGGAGTTGCCACTGCTGTGGAACCAGGTTATTGCAACAAGGGAGTGTGGTGTTCAGAGAGTAGAGTGCAAGAAGGGCAGGTTGATGTGTTGTCTTACGTGTCTGAAAGTTTGGTACACAGCCAGGTCAGGAACAGTGTGGATATCGGCGTGGTGGTGGATGGTCCACATCTGCTGTCCTTGGGGGAGCATAATAGTGTCTCATGCAGATGCAGAGGGAACCCTTTCGATTCGGGTCCAAGCCATTTCAGTTTTGTGATGCAATGAACTTGTTTCTATGCTTGCAAGTAACCCCTAAGAAATTTGCTCACCTAGGACCCTCGGCTGCAACAGGAGTAAGGCTCGGTGGTGGGAGGTCCACATCTGTATGATATGACATCTGATGTCCCAAAAGAGGTTAAACAGAAGACGCTCGTTCGAGTCGAGTCCCAGCCATTTGAATGCCTGCAATTCACTTTTTTTTTTAGTCGCAGAGTCGAAGGAGTTCTACACATCAAAGAGTGGCTGCCGTGAAACCAAGTCATGTTCATAGCCAGGATAAGGACAGGGCGGATGGTCCCACATGGCCATGAGAACAGGCCCAGGGGAGAAAATCAGGGGCATTGGAGAGGTTGATGGCCGGCCCGCCCACCCCGCACCGCCATCTCACATTTTGCGGGGATGAAAGTCCTTGAACTGCCACGATGAGCGGAGCCTACTCCCCGCTGCCCACAAGCGCCTCCTATCCCCCGAAGACCCTCCTCGCCCGCCTTGCCGCCGCGCCCCCCACCCGCATCCGCCGTCTGCTCCCCTTTGTCGCCGTCCTCGCACTCAGCTCGTCGCTCGTCGTCTACTTTGTCTTTGCCTCGTCTTTATCGTCCTCCTCACCACCGCACGCGGACTCGTACAACTTTGACGCGGAGGCAGAGACCCTCCAGTTCGATAGCAGTAGTAGCACTCCTTGGTCTGACGACGGGCCCAGGAGTCCATTCTTCCGCGACGCACACCCGGCGCTGCATGCGCGGCTGTTCCTCGCGCGCGCACAGGCTGAAATCCGCGCGCGCGGCCTCGACACGTGTGGCGGCCAGCTCGGCGTGCCGATGGTGCAGGGGTACATGAAAGCTGCCGTGCCCTATTGCGAGCCTCGCGGTGCGTTCAATACATTCATTCATCGGCTACAACAATGCAATACAAGCTGACCCCACAGACACATCCGCCGCCTCCATAACCTGCTTCCCCGCGCGCGCCCCCTCCTCGCCCAATGGCTGGTGGCCGTACCCGCAGGCCTTCTGCGCCGCGCACCACCTCGCGCACACCCCCGGCTGGGGCGGCCCCATGCAGGACCGCGGCCTCTTCACCGGCCCCTGCGCCCTCACCCCCGCTGGGCGCGCCCTCAAAGACGCCATGGGCCGCGAGGCCTTCCTCGGCACCGAGTTCATCGAGCCCGACGCGCTGCTCGCCGCCGAGGGCGGTCGAAGTAAGAACGGGGGCGGCGGGGACAAGGGGTGCGCGGAGAACGTGACGCACCCGGTGCTGTTCGTGCCGCGGCAGGACCGGTGGAATCCGTTCCATGTGGGGGAGGACCTGGTGACGACCTTCCTCGCGCTGACGTTGTTCTCGTTGACGCCCCCGCCGCCGCCGCCGCCTGCGGGTGGCCTCGGCTCCTGGTTCTCCGCGCCCGCAAGCGCTGGTACGGAGGCTTCAGCGACGAACGCCCACCTCCTCGCCGCCCTCCCCGAGACGTACTTTTCCCTGCTCGCTGCTTCCTCCCACAACTCCCATTCCTCTCCTTCCTCTTCCCACAACGCCTCCACCACCAACGCCACCGCCCCCTCCGCCGCGCACCTCACCCGCCTCAAGCACGAGCTCACGCAGCTGACGCACGCGCTGTCGCACACCGCCGCCCTGCAGCTCGTCTTCTCCGACGCCTTCCTGCCCACGCAGAACCTCTTCGCGCCGCTCTGGGACCGCATCGGCGCGCGCGTCCCGCGGCGCATGGGGCTCGAGGGCTTGGGTATGGACGGGGGTGAGTCGATTTTGCTTTTTATTATTATTCCATCACGCGCGCGCGCTTTCGTGCGTACGTCTGTGCTCGTCCCTCTTCTCCTCCTTCCCTATCCATCCCTGTCCCCATCTCTATCTCTATCTCCATCTATCCCTTCCTTCTTCCTTCCTTCCTTCCTTCCTTTCTCATCTGCATCCTCACTCACTCACTCACCCGCCCCCTCCTTCCATTTTCATTCCATCCAGGGCGCACCTGCCTCCGCACGTCGTTCCACTCCGTCGGCGCGGGCGCGTCGCTGCTCAGCGGCACGGACGTCGGCAGGCTGCACACGTGCGCGAGCGAGCTCGTGTGGGGCGCGGGGCTGTGGTTGAGGTGGGTGTGGGGGCTCGAGGGGGCGGCGCCGTTCGCACCTCTTACTACTTCCTCTACTTCTGCGTCGGCGAGTGCGGATGCCGAGGACGGTGAGGGGGAGAGGGGGGACGGGGTGTACAGACGGGATGCGAGCTGGGACGAAGAAGTAGAAATTGAAATAGAAGGAGAGGACGCGGTGGGGAGGCGGGCCCCCGCCCCGACACGAGCGGACCTGCCACAGTCGACGCCGATCCAGGTGCTGTTCTTGTCGAGGGAGAAGTTCGATATGTGGACCAAGTGCGTGTGCTGCTTCTACTTTCTTCCCTTTTCCGATTCCCCTCCCTCCCTCCCTGTATCCCCCCCCCAAAAAAAAAAACCCACACACCTCTGACCCCCTCCCCAGACACTCCTCCAAATCCAAAAAACTCACGCCCTGGCAAGAAGCGCGCCACATCGCCAACGAGGCCGCGCTCGTCGCCGGCCTGCGCGCGGGTTTGGCGTCGCTGTGTCGCGCCGTCACGCCCGTGCCCGGTGGGGTGGCGACGGAGCACGGGCACGGGCGGGGAGGAGCGCACGTGCACGGGTGCACGTACACGGACGCGGACGCGCTGCCCGCGGCGTGGGCCGTGCGGATGCATGCGCGGGAGGCGCGGGCGCTGGGGCTCGGGCGGGGCGGTGGATCTGGGCCGACGACGCCTGACCCGCGCTTGGGAGGCAAGGACACGGGCACGGCGGGGGCGGGGGACGGGCGGCGAGATGACCCACCGACCGACTCGCCCCAACCCCCCGCGCACGCGCACGGCACACGCGCCGACGCCCGCGCCTCCCCACCCCCGCGCGCGCTGCGCTTCGCGACTCTCGACCCGACGACGAGCGCGCTCGCGACGCAGCTCGGCGCGGTCGGGCGCGCGGACGTGGTGGTGAGCGTGCACGCGGGCGCGCTGGGCTTGAGTCTGTTCCTGCCGACGGGGCGGGCGAGCGTGGTGGAGCTGGTGACGACGGGGGCGCAGGGGGTGAGTTCGTTTGTCCTTTTCGTTTTCGTTGTTTGTGATTTGGAAGGGGATTTGGTGTACTTTTTTGGTTTTGCGTTACGGGACGGGACGGGTTGGATTGGGTGGGTGGGCGAGCTGGGAGCTACGAGATGTGCTTGCCTGCTTCGAGTGCGTGTACCTGTGTACGCGTCTCCTTCCTTTCGACCGTGCAGCCGTCCTGCGTCTTCACCCGTCCACCCGTCCACCCTTTCTTCGTCCTTCCGTCTCCCCTTTCTTCGATTTAGATTTTGCACCACCGTCTTCACCCGTCCGTTCTTTGATCCCTTCCCTCCATTCATCCTTTAACCACGACATACCTACCGTTTAGCTGTTTCTCCGTTTGACCGCCTTCCTCCACCGTGCTACCGTGCTCCCCCTTTCTTTTTCCTTTTTCCCGTTTACCGCTTTACCGTCTTTCCTTCCTTCCTTCCTTTCTTGAATTTCTTTTTCCCATTTCCCGCTTTGCCGTCTTCCCCTCTCTCTCTCTTCTACTTTTTACCTGCCCCTTTCTTCGCCCCCATCTCCCTTCTTCCTCATACCAAAGATGCCCAAAAAAAACACACAACTAACATCCCGCGCAGAACAACCACTTCCACAACATGGCGCACATGCTGGGGATGCAGTACGTGCGCGTCGACGTGCGCAAGACGGTGGATGTTGCTGCGGTGGTGCGTGCCGTGCGGGAGGTTGTGGAGGAGCGGTTGGTGAGGTAGTGCTGTGCGAGAGAGGTGTGGTGTGCATGCATGCATATGTGGATGTGGGCGAGGGACCGATGGAAGGAAGGAAGGAGGGAATGGTCCCCGCGACGCGACGAGTGGAGGCGCGAGGGATTCCTGATGCGCTGTTGTCCACGTCGTGTGCTTGCGCGCGGGACACTCTCCCCGCGGGGCTGGGACGCTCGGTGGAATTTTCGGCGGATGGATGGATGGATGGGTGCTGGAATTTGATTAAAGTAGAGATTCGAGGGCGTATCTAGCTGTTGTACTATATACTACGACTGGCCGGTATTTATTAGTAGACGTAGGCTGTATTCACGAAGGACAGACGGGAATTATGCGCTCAAAGGAACATGAATTTGGACAGAAGCGTGATAGCATTGCGCGAAGTGCAGATGGCATACCGGTATACTGCACAGGTTGACAGAAAAAGTAGTGATGTAAGAAATTCCTCGCCCCGCCAAAGAAGCCCAAGTTAAGAAAACAAGCCTCTCCCGATGGCGGCCGCCTTCATCTCTTCCAACTCTTCCCACGGAGGTAGGCCATATATTCCAGGGAGTTTATCCCAGAATGCCTGGCGGGCAGCTTGATGCTCCTGTCTAAGCTTGGCGAGGCAGACAGAACAGACACCATCGAGCAAGTGCCAGTTTGACCACGCAGC